GAAACTGTGCTCTAACTTTACAAATAAGAAATAGATTTTTGCCAGTTCAATTCCTTTAACTGACTCGTCATAGGTATATCAATAACATGGCTATATCAGTGCCAGCACAGGAAGAGGTGAAGCAATGAAGCCAAAATGGGGAATAGGATAGGAATGCCTGTTCCAGTGAGTCGTTTCAGCAGTTGAGATGTGGCATGAAATGCTGCCTGCAAGTTCATAATTTAAACATTGAAGTTGGTGAGTTTTTTCATCAGTATACATGCTTTTCAGAGCAAAGTCACTGTTTTAAGTTAAGGCATTTCAGTACAGAGTTATCAGTGTTACAGATACTGGATTCATCACTTAGTGCCTTTGTACCTAGGGATCACCAAGTTAAATAAAGCAACAACATGCAAAAGAACCTGCTACTGAATGTTAATTCAATTTGAAATTGCAAGTGTGAAAATACAAAACATCATGTAACTAGTTATAGAATCATAGATGGCCTAGGCTGGAAGGGACCTTAGAGGTCATTTAATCCAACCTCCCTGTTGTGGGCAGGGACGCCTCTCAACTACATCAGGCAACACATGGGGACTGAACGGGGATTGAACTTGCGATCGTGGTGTTACCAGCATTGCACTCTAACTGACTGAGCTAATCTAAATTCTCATCAATGATACTCTAATTTCACATTATTTCAAAAGAAAAAAAGCAGGTGGAAAACATAAGCGAATAATCCTGTAAAATGTACCACTTCTCATTGTATACAATTGCAAGTCACTCTGGTTACAAAAGATGTGTTTGCAGTGCATTGTGTGCAGCAGCGTGAGCTGTAGCTTGACTTATGCTGTGTCAAGTAAATGAGGGAGCAACCTGATTTTCATTAGCCTTTATTTTAGGATGTAGCCAAATGTGACATTTGCAAGTGTCAGAAACATTAATTCACATTTTTTCTTAAGGTCATTGGAAATTCCAACACTTTGGGCCAAAGTTAAGGTTGCACTATTCACCATGTTAAGAGCTCTTGTATATAACCAAGGACTTCAGTATAACTCTTGACGGCACTCCTAGCTGTCATCCCATGTATAATACACAGATGACCAAGGTGCTGTTGAACCAGTTGCTGAGCAGTGCTCTTCACAATGTAGTGTTTTAACACAAGTGGTAAAGACAAACTTCAGGGTAGCACACTACTCTCCCTGTGATTCAGCAGCGGGGTCAGAAGTAGCTCATCCGCCTGCACACTCCCAGGGAGGTGATGAGATGGAGGATGAATTCAGGGTGCTCCAGGCTGTGCTGCCTCTGCTTACAAGCCCTCTTGAAGTCTGACCAGGGTTTCTGACTGGCTGCCGGCTTCTGAGGATTTGAATCGGTGCTTTACTCACTAGAAAGAGCCAGAGTGGGACTGACTGTTAAGGAGTGTAACTTGCCAGTCATTCTTTTGTACAAAAAGTAATTTCACCTGCTGAAGTGAAGCCAGCATCATATCATATCCTCATAATCAGTATAACTTTGTAGATCAGACCTGATGTACATCAGTCTTCAGTCACTACGTTAAAAAAAACCAACCACAAAACAAATACCGAATCAACACTATAGAGGGATATATTGACGTTTATCAGTTTTAAGCAGTCTTAGCTGAGTTTTGTTTACAGGCTTGTTTCACTATAGAAGTTTAAAAATGCCATACTGCCGCAGTGTAAATGCAGCAGTACGTTTTATGCCTATAGTAAGACTGTTTCTAACTTAACTCTGAGCTTTTAAACTTTACAGTTTGGGAGTCAAAGCAATTAAAGTTGTACAGCTTCTTTATAAATGAGTTTATCAATTTTTGTAACTCAAGAACTTGACATGGCTAAGGTATATCCTCAAAAGCATATAATCATATATTCTCAAAAGCTGAACTGGCAGTTGAATAAGTAGGGCTTTACCAGAAGGATGGTGCTTCGTGCCAAAAAACCTCATATATATATATATTTTATTATTATTTAATGACGACTTTGAGTGACAGAATTTTGACACAAAAATGAGAAGAGCTAATACCCCCTTCCTTTATTTCAAGTGATAGGTTTTCTGAAAAGAATGCAGTAGGATGATTAATGTCACATTAGAAGAGGCCTCAAATTGCCAAGTTCTAATACATGCGTGAAAATGCAGAAGAACAGAGTACATGCTTCCAGTGCATCAATTACTGTTGTAAACACTAATTAAAATAACTACTTTCATAGCTGTTTCATAATGTAGCAGTTGTCAGTTGGTACTGGTACGAATTATATCGAGGAAAGAACCTAGTTACTGTGTTAGCCAAAGTTTTTTTTATAATTGTAAAGGTATACTAACAAATTCTGTCTCTTCAGTTATACCACTTAAGTCCCAGATAATGAATTTTATATATATATATACATACACACACACTTTATACTGTTGCAATACTTTCATTGTATTTTTTGAGGCAATGGATTTCTGCATATAGGCTATAATAAACTGTATATCAGAGGTAGTGTGCTTGATATTTTTATTGATTACCAACATAGTTTTCAGGGCTATCTTCTAAGTTATCAAGAACTAGTATGTGCTGTATCTCTACCAGCTTCTCTCCAGAAATTTTCCATTGCTACTAGTAATACTGTTACAGCAAGAAAAACACCAACAGTGTTAATATTTTTATTTAAGTGATAGTCTGAGCTAAGGACACGGCATATTAATTGTCTGTGCGAACTGTTAAAATTGTTCTTTCAGTTTTACATAGTAACTCTTTATTGTGGTCTGAACGTAGTAGTTTTGGTTTCTTAATCAATATGAGGGCAGGCTGAGACAGTTGTGGCTGTTCAGCCTGGAGAAGAGGAGGCTCCAGAGAGATCTTACAGTGGCCTTCTAGTACTTAAAGGGAGCCCACAGGAAAGAAGGGGAGGGACTCTTTATTAAGGATTGTAGTGGTAGGACAAGGGGTAACAATTTCAAACAGAAAGAGAGCAGATTTAGCTTAGATATTAGGAAGAAATTCTTTTCTGTCAGGGGTGTGAGACACTGGCACAGGTTGCCCAGAGAAGCTGTGGCAGCACCTTCCCTGGAGGTGTTCAAGGCCAGGCTGGATGGGGCTTTGAGCAACCTGGTCTGGTGGGAGGTGTCCCTGCCCATGGCACGGGGGTTGGAACTAAATGACTTTTAAGGTCCTTTTCAACGCAAACCATTCAGTGATACTGTGATTTCTTTTCCTTTATATGGGAGCCCCATGTGTTCCTGCTCAGATGATGTTCCTGCATCCGTGGTCTCAGTTTCCTTGTGTTTATTTCAGGCATTAAAGAGGTAGGACAGCCTCAACCAGCTGTCCAAATTCCTCTTCATCCTAAGAGTTCAATCTTGTTTGTATACTTGAAGTATTCTCTTTACACAAGTCTAGTTCAAATGGGAAGCAGATGGCTCTTTTAGATAAAGCCTTAAAAATCTATTTCTAATGGTATATACGTCTGAGAGTTAGTTTCCTTATGGCTGGAGCATCACGGTTCAATACATGTATTCCTTCATTACTGCAAGGTAAAACATGTTAGCTTAAATCACTTTCCGTTTTTAAGCTAGGTTATTGTAGTAAAACATCTTAGCTGTGAAGGCAGTCACATCTGATTTAGGGAAGCTAACTAGCAGGTGCAGAGAAGTTCCTTAAAGCACACACCTCTTTATTCTGAAGGCTGGTCTTTTTGCTTCCTACAAAAAACACTGCGGAAGTATGTCTCTGAGCCGCAGGATAATCTAACTAGCAACACAGAATGGTTGGATGAGCAGTTAAAAAGCTTTTGATTTCATTTGAGGTTTCTATGTTTCAGCAGGTTTGGGATGCCTGGGATTTGTACTTCAAGCTCGTAGCTGGTTAATTTGTGACAGTGGTCAGGAATTTATGGAGTTTCAAGATTAGTTTCCCTCTTCAATTTTTATTGTAGATAGAAGAGGAAGTACTTGTAGATAAAAGAGGATAATTTGTTTATTTTTTTCAGATGCAGATGCACTGTCAGTTATACAGTGAAGCATTCTCAAAAGCTGTACTTACGTGTGGTCGTTGAGACCCTCAGTGATGGACACTGTTTTCGTTAACGCTTTTTTGAGTTTTGGTTTCGGGGGTTTTTTTTGTTTGGTTTTTTTTAGAGGTGTGTCACTTACAAGTCATTCTTTAAAGATTATAGCTGTTGAGAAAAACCTCCTTGAAGGTGCTTTGAATGGAGAGGTGACATTCTTCTAGTCCAGAAACAGCTCAGTTTAAAAGCTATTGTGAACACAGATTTCTCTTGCTTGGTTCTGAGAATCACATTTCGAAGAAAACTTTTGACCGGCAGAATTCTTCTGATTGGGAAAGGGTAGGAGCATCACTTGTTTAGAGAATATCAATCTAGTCAGGCTTTCAATATTTTATTAGCTCTGTTTGATAACATTGAATTAATAAAATACCTGCTCTCTCTCATAGCCATTCATCATGCTTACAGGAGAGAGATTGTGTTACAGGCAGGTGTTAGCACCAGTACAGAATTCTGCCACGGCCAGTGCAAATTCTCCCCATGCTGTTGGTGTGGATTTGGCAGTATGACAAAGAACACAAAGTCCAGCATCTTGGAGATGAGACGTTATTTAGTTCTGTCTTGGGACTTGAAAAGGTCAGTATCTGCTAACTGGAGGACTAGAATCTACTAAGAGGTTGAAATGTCTGTGCTCAAGAGTATTTCTACTAGAAGAATACAAGGCTTAGCTCTAAATAGACTCACGTGTGTGAATCTTTTATAACTGCACTGCTTCCTTGCATTGGTTTTAAAAGTAGCTTTGACTATTATGGTTCCCATAATTAGAAAGTAATACCCTTGCTAGAAATAGGGGTGAGGTAAGAAGATATATCCCTGTCAATCTCCTGATTGTCCCATACTTCAGCTTATGGACCAGAAGTATCTGCTGGGCCACTTCACCATTGTAATAAGTGTTACCTGTTTGTCCTGTGGCTGTATGTAGCTTTTTTTCATCCTTTGCTTTTTGTTTCTTCACCAGGTTCAGCTGCAACATCCAAAAAATAAGTGGATCTAAACTCCAAGGCTCATTTTGCAATGATTTATAGACCTGTGGGAAAGTATGAGAGATTACAGATGGCTTAAGATGCTGCTGTGGAAGGGTATGATCTACAGTTCCCCTTCACCACTGGTGCAGCAGTAGCGTTTGCATGGTAATGTAGCGAGTGCAAGTCATTTTGTGGGCAGGGAACTGACACGGACAAAAATAAAATTTCACTGCTGTCTGTGAAGTCACAGCTGTACCAGTGCTGGCACTAGGGAGAGAGGTGGGAAACTCACATCAAGAGATAGATTAGAGCTAACCCTTTAGGTGACAAAACAGCTTTGGATAAGGTAGTAATGAGCTTGCAGCGTTAAAAAGAGAGGGCCTTTCCTCCTTGTTAAGGCAGTGGACAAAGTATTTGTGGAAGCTTGGAGAAATCAAATCTCTTCATCTTCCATTTACTCAGTTTGTGGCAAAAATATTAATGTTTCGATATGTTAATTTAAAGTAGCTATATGACAGAGAACGTGAAAAGGTTCTTTAATTATAATTTTGTAGTGCCACAGGTATGATAGGTAAGAATTCTTTTAATTCTTAATGTCTGAGTCAATTTCCGTAAAAGTTATTTTCCAGATTTTGCCTGTTGTGCAAGTTCAGTATTTGATTGCAAGCTTTTACTAGATCAACAATAAATTAAGCTTTTCTTTTCACTGTACTGTATTGTTCATTTCCATGTGCTGCTGAGCTGGTGCAACACAGCTATAGAAGTAATAATTAGTATTCAGTATTCTTGTTGGAATGTGCTAATTCTGCAGGCCAGGAGTTTAAGTTCTGCAGGCTAGGAGTTCAAGAAAAGCATGAAAGGTTAAAGTAGCCGTAGGGCTCTGTTGGTAAATAGGACTAAAATTGAGAAGGTCATAATCATACTTTGTTCTGGGGAAAAAAATAGACCTGACTTTTCTGATGGGAAAATAATATTGATATCATCTAGTGTCTTTTGGGAAAATAATGTAGAAAATGGTAGAGACAGTGATTGCAGAATGGGAGACGCTACTGCTGTTTCCAAAGGCTGACATAGGGGAACATGTATTCTCCATAATTTTAGTTTAAACTGCTCAAAATAAGCTTCCTTGTGCACAGCTCTTTAAATTTGCACTCAGTGAAGTAAATCTCTAAAATTGTATAGTCATTTATTGTTCTTGAAAATATCTTCACAGTAGTCCTATATGGAGGCTGTCAAAAGATTTTCTAAATTGAATTGCATTCAAAACATTGGGGATTTTTTGTAACTCAAAGCAACTCATGTTGTTTTGGTAGCTAAGAAAATAGCACATTTTTGAGTTGTAGAATATTTCAGGTGGGAAGGGATGTCAGGAGGTCTCTAGTCCAAAACCTTACTCAAAGCAAGATTAGCTCTGAGATCAGACTACAATTTCAACATTTTACTTAGATTACTCTTATTTTTTTGGCAAAATGTCATCATATGTACAATATTTCTGGTAGATCAAATTATCACAAAGCAGTAAGATCTTCCTCTAAAATAACGCTTTGCAATAAGTACATTTGTCTTACCCAGAAATCTGTCTGTCTTACTAAATTGTTCTCTAATATGCTTTTAAGATGTTAAGCTTTTCTTTTTAGCTTTTTTATTTTAAAATAAAATAGTACTAACTGGTGGCACTGTGTGTAAACAATGCAGTATTTTGTTGCTACTAAATATTTTGTTTAGAAGAAGAAAACAACTGATAGAAAGTGCTCTTTGAATGGTAAATTGCGCTGCTGCTCGCGGCATGCAGAAGTGGGTTAAGAGTGTTCCTGCAAGGGTGCTGACATTTGTTGTGTCTTCTAAGGAGATAATGCTTTTCAGCCTAAACTTCAGTCTCATGTTTTGTGTGGATGCCTCTCATCTTTTGTTTTAATTAAACTAACGATGCAGCATGTTGGTGGGTGAGGCTGGTCAACTGTGCGAAAATATTTCTATAGTCTTTCCTTCCAGACATCAGTGAGGGTTTAGTATACCCCTGGGCACACTTCCCGAGGACTGCAGTTCTTACCCTGGTCAGAAGAGATTTCTCTTTCCAATTATAAGAGCAGAATGAGCTTCAAAATAGTTAAAAATTTATCTGCGTTGTTGACTGGGAAAGTTTAGAGATCACTGCAGTAGGAGAGAGTTCCCAGGAGTTGTAGCAAGGTTAAAGAGTGAAAACCAGTTAGCTATATAATGCAGCTTTTCTGCATATGTAACTACTGTCATTAGCATTCTAACCTTTTGTATGCTCACACACCACCATTCCTGATAAATAAGTCTTTTATACCATGCAAAAAATCCTTTTTACTGATACTGCTTATTCTTATGTTGATACAGAAATACAGAATCATAGAATGCATTGGGTTGGAAGGGACATTAGAGGTCGTCTAACCCAGCCTCCCTGCAGTGAGCAGGGACATCTTTAACTAGATCGGGTTGCTCAGAGCCCCATCAAGCCTGACCTTGAATGTCTCCAGGGATGGCGCATCCACAACCTCTCTGGGCAACCTGTTTCAGCGTTTCACCACCTTCATTGTAAAAATTTTGTTCCTTCTATTCAGTCTAAATCTACCCTCTTTTAGTTTAAAACCATTACACCTTGTCCTTTTACAACAGGCCTTGCTAAAAAGATTGCTCCCATCTTTCGTACAGGCCCCCTTTAAGTACTGAAAGGCCGTGTGTTGGTATTAAAAGCTTTTATAACTTTGTCTGCCATGAGGACATGGCATAGTCTGAGTATGTTGTGTGTTGGAAACAAAACCATTTTAGTCCATAGACAAATCCTTTAGTCTAAGAGTACTATCTTTGTTCATACAAGAAGTCGGTATTAGAGTGTTTTTAATACAGCTTTTGTCAGGAAAATTAGTTGTTTATGATGCTTCATAATTTGTATGTGTTCCTTCTAAGTACTGCCTAGTGAATATTTGTAAATCAATACTCAGGGAGAAACAAGGCATATATCTGAGTACTTTATACTGCGTCAGTGTAAGGGTGTCTGTTAAATCCTACAAAATTATTTTAACAATCTTTTTAACATATATATTTTCTGCTTCCCAAGTAGTACCTCCTATTAATTATAAAATCAGTTATAAAATTGACCTTCAAGCACTCCTGTTAATGCTAAAAAATCAGTATGAGTACAGAAGTTGATTTCCCCCCTCCTTTGATTTGCATTAACAAAACTGGCTCTGTTTCAGTTTTTAAGATGTTAATTACGTCCCTGTTGATGTGGTGGTCAGTAATACACTTCTGTTCTCTCAAGGATTTTATTAAATTGTTGCTCTTTGGGAAAGCAGAGGAGGAAAAATAGGAAGTCTCTGTGTGAGTTGCATGAGTAAAAAGGTAACGGAAGTTTACAGATAAGAAGTAGATTACTACTTTTGTAGTATAATCAAACTTTAAATTCTTCAGGGGTGTCACCTTCAGACAATTACAAACATACTTATGTGAACTATATTTTCCCCAAGATGTTTCTACTTTTGAGGCTATAGATGTTAAGCATCTTCTTTCCTTTTTTTAACAGGAAATTCTGGTGATTAAAGATCATGGCAACCATAGAGGAACTGGCCAATCAGATTATTGAACAGCAAATGGGAGAGGTACATGAATTTCGAGTCCTATTTAAGAGACATTGAATAATAAAATGTACAGACTGATATATAAAAAACAAAATCACAAGAGAAATAGTTTTTAGTACACCCAAAGCTTCCAGAGACTTTCTCACAGAAGACTAGAAAAACTTGTTATATCCGTTGTAAAGTTACACTGCAAACTTTTTTTTTTTTTTGCCAGAGTTTGCCTCACAGAAATAAAGCTAAGGGAAATCTGGCAGTGTTCCCAGTAGGTGAAATTAGCTGTTCAGCTCTGGTTTTTGGGCCTGTAGTGGTCTTCAGAGGCATCTGGTTGTATAATTGCTGTGTTCACTTTCAGTTACAAAATATACAGTCGAGAGTTGTCAGTACATAGCTTTTATTTTCCAGTTAAGCAGTTGCTTCAGTTAACATTTTTGGTTTTGCTCGTAAGGGTTTGCCGTGCTCTTCACTGTAAAACATTTGCTGGTGTTTGGTGTAGGTCAAAAGGAAGATGGAGTTATTGTTTCTATACGGATAGTTTGGGTGTATGGATAAGAGTATACACACTTTTATCTAGAAGGTTTCGTCATAGCATAGTCTATTTAAAATTAGCACTGCTTTAAATTAGATGAGGCAATAACTTATTTATCTTAAATAAATGGTATTTTTTAGCTTGAAGCATCCACTCTTTGTTTCTTGTCTAGACATAGACTTACTTTTCAAGTAATTTTAGTTCTTCTCAGTCTTGATTTAAAATAGAAAGGTTGGAGGGAGGGGCAGGCTGGTTAATTCTATTCTATATAAATTCCTACAGCTTTTGTTGTTGTAGGATCTGAGTGTTACTAAAGCTATCTCAAAGAACATAAGTGGTTTTTGTGATATGTGGCGTTTTATTTCTCTCACTTGTCCTCTTTATAGGTGAGAAGGGAGTGCCTAGTGTAGCTTTGTTTTGGCAGTGTAATTCCTCATGGAGGTCTAGATACGGCTGTGTTTTCCTAGTTTGGTTTGTGTGAAAGTACAGGCTAATCAAACCTAGCTGAAGTGTAGGTTTCACTCGTAAAAGAGGATGGTATGATGATCGTGTTTAGCTTCTGTGAGAGTTCACAGAATCACAGAATGTCAGGGGTTGGAAGGGACCTCAAAAGATCTAGTCCAGCCCCCCTGCCAGAGCAGGATCACCTAGTGTAGGTCACACAGGAACGTGTCCAGGTGGGTTTTGAATGTCTCCAGAGAAGGAGACTCCACAACCTCCCTGGGCAGCCTGTGCCAGTGCTCTGTCACCCTCACAGGGAAAAAGTTTTTCCTAATGTTTTTGTGGAACCTCCTATGTTCCAGCTTGTACCCATTGCTCCTTGTCCTGTCATTGGACATCACTGAAAAGAGCCTGGCTCCGTCCTCCTGACACTCCCCCTTGACATATTTATAAACACTTATGAGGTCACCCCTCAGCCTCCACTTCTCCAAACTAAAGAGACCCAGCTCCTTCAGCCTTTCCTCATAAGGAAGATGCTCCACTCCCTTCAGCATCTCTGTGGCTCTGCGCTGGACTCTCTCAAGCAGTTCCCTGTCTCTCTTGAGCTGAGGGGTCCAGAACTGGACACAATATTCCAGGATTGTTTCTCAATTTCATAATGCGGTTCTATGAGACACTGAGCTGACTTAGTTTTTCAGTGCCATGGGAGAGGAAAGGTTCTTCTTCTGTTTCTTACCTTGTTTAATTTCCACATTACCAGCAGGGTAACCCAAGCAAAACAAATAGAAGGTTTCCTGCAGGATTAGGGCGTTGAATAGGATCTGAGAAGGCTCTGTGAGGAGTATCAGAGCCAGTGTGAAGGAGATGTCTGGTAGCCAAAGGAAATCAGGGGAAAAAACGAGGGAGGGGAGGTGTGGCACTGCAGAGAACTGTTTTCTCTTTCTCTTCATGGAGAAACTGCAGCCTTACAGTTTTCATGGGTATCATTTTGTCAGCAGCATAGATTAGGATTTGTTCTTCAGCAAGGTTTTACTGAGCCTGAGACCATCACATCTGATTTCACAGCAGTCTGACTTAAGCATTTCCCAGTCCTCACTTAGCCGCTTGTTCTCGCACTGTGCTAGTCTTTGCAAGCTCTGTTTGGTGCTCACTGTGTAGTTGACAAAACTAGGAAAATGAAAAATTACAGACTAGTGGAGGGAGATCTTCTGCCTCCCCACTGGGGTCAGTTCTCTTGTCTGGTACAAGGCGTGATCCAATCCGGCACGTGGTTAGAAGGGCTGAAAAGCATCACCCAGGAGAATGTGCGGGATGGGACTATGTAAACCGAAATTACTGTCAAAAATGCGTGCCATGCGTGAGTGCACTGCCTGAAAGGGGAAATCAGCAAGGAAAGTGGTCTTACAGGGGCCTTCATGTAATATCCTGCCTTCTTACCTGCCTCTGACCTGGCTGTAAATGCTTGATGGTGTTTCCTCTTGAGAAACATAGTTTAAGGTTTGTGGAACTTCAGCAGTATTTTTGCTACATTGTAATTTTCTTGGAATTTGAAACTGTTAATTTAATTTACAAGAAAAATCTGCATGAGTAGAACATGAAAGGAAAAAACACAGATGTTTCCAGTCTGAGAAGGGAAAGTGCTCCTGTGTCTCATTGAAATAGTGCTCAGAAGTGTTCTGTGACATAGGTTTTGATTTCTTTATAATATTAATACATACTCATGAAGGATTTTAAAATACAGAATTATCACAAATGATTTTATGATGATGTTCACAAATGTGTTTTTATTAATTTAGAAAGTTTTTTACATAAAAGCAAAACTTATTTTTAAAAAAATCATTTATAGCCTTACCTATATGGAGCATTGCACAATATTTATCGTTTCTCAAATAATGCCAACTGCGAATCATCTTTTGCTGAGTGATACTTCGTATTTCTACATCAAGTTCACATTCCTTGATTCATGTAAGGAAGTTGTCTGTCAAGAGCCCACAGCAATCTCCTTTCCTTAATCTGTGGTTGGGTACTAAGTATATGGTGGTTTGTTTCCACCCTCCTGCCAGGTAACAGTAGCAAGAGAAAGATACGTATTTGCTGAAACAGAGTTCATATGCATACGAAATATAATATTTAACAAACGTTGTTGTCCTTGCATTGGTATTTTTTTTAACAGCAATAAAAAACTGTGTTCTATTTAGAAGTAAATCTATCAAGCTGACATTTGGTGGGGCTGAAGACTAGTTTTACTGTGCACAACATGTAGATCATGACATTTTAAGAGAGTGAACATAAAACAGGAATATGTATCTTGTTTCGTAAAGCAAAGATAAATTGACATAAAACTGCGATTGCTTGTAAATCACCACATCTACATGTCATTTGAAAGGCTGATGCAGAATTATAGCATTTGAAAGTATCTCTTTGAAACTATGTTTCTATATGATGAACATTTCTTTGTCCTTTACTTAAAGAAATAGATGAATTGTTTGAGTATGGAAAATACTTGTAGTCATGAAAAATTGGGTATTTTTAGAAAGCAGTGTTCAAAAATGTCTTGGGCAGTAGTTTGGCAGGCATTTCTTTTGATGCTACGGAAAGCTTAAGTGATCCCCAAAGCAGCTTAATCCCACTCTGTCATTTGCTTCTGAGCATTGTGGAGATCTGGATTGAAGGTTTGATCTGTGCTAAGAATAGCCTTTGTCTGCCTGGTCGCTGGGCTGCTTTGTAACCTGCATCAGTGCCCTATTCCAGATCACTGAACAACTAACCAACCAGTTTTACCTACTAAGCTGAAGGGATGGGAGCAAATAGGTTATAAAAGCTGAGACTGGTACCAAAAGTAATGCCTTTTTGGGGAAAATTTCAAAATCAGCCTAGACCCATGAGAGCTTGTATTTTTGCTGTAAGGGGAGATTTTACCCCACCACTCCTTCCCCGTCTCATACTCACCTCCAGCTGCATGTGTTTGCCTCCTTTCACCTGCTGGTACCAGCATTTTCATGGCAGTGTGGTTGCAAAATCAGGAATGGAGAAGCTCTCAAGCTGTTACAAAACACTACCTTTACTGTGCTACGCATATATTCTCTATATTAAGTCTTGGGGCAGGAGACACAACAGTCAAAGAGGAGCATTTTTATAATGATTTAAATTATTATCAGTACATAGTTGCAGGATGTCCCAGGGTTTTTGAACTACAAAAAAGTTCTGAGAGTTACTTGGGAACTTAAGATAGAAAATTTCAGTTTGAAAGGATCTGTAAACTCTGTTGAGACAAACGTCCTTTGTACTACAAAAAGTCCAGCCTTTCTGATCAAGTCTCTGCAAATAGCAGCTGTATTTCCTAATTTTTATTGGCAAATAATGTAATGAATAATGCCTTCTCCCTTATACCTTTGACTGTGGCCTGTGAAGAATTTTTAAAACGTTGATAATTGTTAACACTTCCACAAATTGTATCTGAGAGCATTCACAGAGATTTGCCAACTACATCCATTTAATTAGTTTCCTTCTAAATTTCTTGATAGCTCCCCGGTATAAAATTCTTTTGCTCTGTTTTTGCTGCTTTAACACGAAAATTAGAAAAGGCCAATTGCTTTGTCTCCACACTAAAATTTCTTTTGTCATTTTAAGTTAGCCATTCAAGTAAAAGTATTTCAGTGTAAATGTGACACAGCTATGATGAAAGGTATTGTGTCTCATGAACATCAGCAGTAATAAATATATGCAGTCTGATTGATTTACATGGACTTGTCAACAATGAATTGCTTGACTTAACATGTTTCTAAATTTCGCATTGGAAGGCATTTAAAAATGGGTTTAAAACAGTGAAAAAAACCAATTTTCTAACTAGCAAAATTAAGCTTTTCAATTAGGTTACAAGCATTTGCATTCCATATACAGTAAGTGGGTCAGACTTCCCATAGCCTTGTGCAGAGAAATCAGAAGTTGAAGGTAGTGTACCCACCCTTAAGGTAATATATCCACTGTCATTCCATTCCATTTATATTCTTCTTTCTAGATTACCCATTCTCCGGCAGCTGTTACACAAACACTAATGGATGGGACGGCACAACGAATACAGATCGTCCCTGCAGATTCAGGCCTCTCTTTACCACAACGTATACAGGTATGCTTCGTCTGATGTATTTTAAAAGTAGAGACAAACTATTTATTTCTGCCAGTTTTCACATATGGTTCTTTTTAATTTTTATCATATTATTTGCTTGAATTTAAATATTGAGCCCTGGATGGCAGAGACTATGTCTTTATAAAGCGGAATAAAACGTCATTCCAATGCTTTCCCCTTTTTTTTCCCTTTATTTTGTCCTAAGAATTTCAAGAATAAAAAAAGATTGTAACCACTGAACAGGAAATGATTTTTCTTAATACTATAATGATACTGCCCTTTAAAAGCTGAATATCTTTTAGGTTTGGTAATTCAACTGAGGTGTTGGAATATTTCTACATTTTGTGGCAGGGAGGGAAATACTGTGTTGTACCATTGATATAGATCATGCAAAAGTGCAAGGCAACCTAATGTCTAAGAAGGACACTGGTTTTTGTTTGTTCCAACCCATATTATATGTCCCACTATACTAATTCAGAGCCAGGCCAGGTAAGAATCTCCAGTTCAAGGGAGAGTATGAAGTTTTTGGCAGTGTAGGTAGTTGAATCAACATAGGTGTGTGTATATGGAGATTAGGGTGAATTAGGGAATGGGACTTTATATTTTATCCTCTAAAAGTCAATGCAAGTCCTTGAAAACTTTTTATTTTTAAAATTCATCCTAGAGAAAAAATACCAATAGCAGAACAAATTTTAAAAATACTCTCAGATGTATGGTGTTGTAAACAAAACCTCTGATTTAAGCGAGCCAGCTGCTGGTATAGTCTTGGCTGCTTTTTCTTTTTCTGGCCTCACTCTTCACTATTTCCCACTGTTTGTTCCTGATTTGGTGCATTACCTTCAAGCTTTCAACCTTCTAAGATTCCCCCCATACGTTTTATGTTATCACCCCCTACCTGTGCTCTAGTCATGGTACCGGTCTTGCCTATCCAGTAGTGCTTTTTTCTTTTGGGTACCTCTGCTCCTTTTCTACGCTTTGTGTACAACTGTACCTTTTATTATCTGATTTACGTTAATCAGTTAACCACCTTGTCTTTATCCTCTGTTCTCAGTGTCAATACCTGTGTGCTCTAAGGTCCCTGAAGCCATTTAGTGTAATTTCAGCTTCAGGGGCTGAGTGTGGGGGGACGACATAGAAACCCAGGAGTCTGTTGTTGTTGAACAGCAGAACAGTTCTGTTGGTTCTAACCCTTCTGTGTCAACTTTTTTGAGGGGGAAGAACTACTTCTGGTTAGGCACTGTAATTACAGCAAATAACATGAACATGGAAGAACTGTATTTCTAGGGACCTTTGTGTAGTTTTTCAATGTCTCATGTAGCTGGAAGATCACTTCTTTCTAATGCAGCTACTTTGCACCTTGTCTTTTTTTTCACCACACTCTTTGATTCTTGCTTCAAAACGGATGGTTAGCGCTTTGGGGCGATGATTGTCTCTTTATATATGTGGAACAACAACATGAACACAGAAGAACTGTATTTCTAGGGACAGGGACCTTTGTATAGTTTTTCAATGTCTCGTGTAGCTGGAAGATCACTTCTTTCTAATGCAGCTACTTTGCACCTTGTCTTTTTTTTCACCACACTCTTTGATTCTTGCTTCAAAACGGATGGTTAGCGCTTTGGGGCGATGATTGTCTCTTTATATATGTGGAACAACACCCAGTCAAATGTCATCCTTCCTGCAACAGGCATCTACAAACATGTCACCAGTGTCAGTAATGGTAAAATCCATATAACTTAGTAATGAAAACTTCCCTCAAAGCAAAATATATGTGAATAGTGAAATAGTTTGTAGGAGCAAATACATCTCAGTGAAATGTTCAAAATAAATGTTAATTTCATTCGAGTTTGTATTTTAAGCAATGTTTTTTCTTTATTATTACTAAATGCACATAAATCTCTGAAATCTTGAAATACAAAATCCTCAGTAAAATATTCTTGAAAGCATTTCATTAGTCACCCTTTTCAGGGAATATTGACACTTCTCTAGGATACTAGTTGAATGTCACATTTGTTGTTAAACAGACATTTCTGTTCAAAACTGTGTGTTATAAACAGGTGGATTAGTTCTCTGTGTTTAGACACATTTTTCCCCTAGAAGAGGAGCACAGAATTACCGAGGTATTTAATTTATTGAAATTATATTCAAATGGAAGTCAAAACTTGTAAATGGATGAGACTTGAAAGCAATAAAGGAAAATACTATCCTTCACTGTCATCAGGGTGCTCAGATGAAGTACACGGGGGAAGTGTAGTTTTAAAGCAGACAATCCCGAATTAATACATTCCTCTTTTATAACATTAGCCCTTCAGCGATATGGAGTTTCACATTTTTAAGAAACATGATGTGTTGTCACTGAGCCCTGATTGATTCTCTTGAGTAGATAAGCGGTTTTCTTTTTCCCTTTGATTATTTTTCCTCTTATCTCACCATTTAAGCGCTGCAAGTTTTTATACTTCAGTGAACTGCTCCACTTTTCAGAGTCCTGTTGCAATTTAAGTGGAGTTTTTGCAGGTATACGGCCATAAGAGGTCAGCTTCAGACAGACTGTGCTTCACTGTTTAAAACTGCTTTCTCTTCTGCCTCTGTCAGTTGTCAAATTCTTTACAGCTGCAGAAGCCATTTGTGCAGATTAAATAACTTTATATGGATATTGCCATAACGCTCTACCTGCTATATCACATAGTGAAAACTGCACGGGCATCCTCCTAGGATTTGAAGAATTGGGACATTATTTGTTAAATATCAGGTGAATTGAATTATGTGAAGCTCTAACAGTTCTTCTGCCTACTGACCTGCCATATTTATCTACAAATACAGACCTTTTTTAAAATTATGGAGCTGGACTGCAATAAGAAAAAAAAGATGATTGAGCATATATATCAAAAAAAAATTTCAACTTCAGTTCAAATCTGTATCTTCACTGTTTGAGACATGCTGGTTTTTGAGTTTTAAACCGTACTTCGTATAAACCTAACTGGATCAGATATATGCCTTTTTTGATGCACAAATAGTTGCACTTTTATGTTTTGATAGGGAGACAGATTTTAGATAAGAGTGTCTTTCGAAGAGCAGGTCTAGAAATTCAAGAAACAGCACAGTATTGTGTGTTTGGATTTTGAACATATACACACCCTGGGGAGGGTAACTAATCCCAGTAAAGCAGATGTGTTTGGGGAGAAGGGGAAGGGAGCATCAGCTACTTTGAGAAATAAAAATGATAAATTAAGAGAAGTAGAAATGGAATGGAAGGAGAAAGTTAAGCAAAGAAGGGAACTAAAAGGGCAGACCAGTTTGCTTTCTAAAGAATATAGAACTGACATAAAGGAATTGAAAGGAGAAATAAGGGACTGCTGTAGTCATCTGTGGTCCTGGATGAGTAGATATCTGGCATACCCTGTGTTAAGCATGTTGAGAAATGTTATGGGGATTTTACGTTGTCTTCCCACCCTGCACCCCAAATCTCATGATAAGTTACGTTATTTTCTTGTATCTTTAGCATCTGGAGTTTGATCATCTTACCTGGATTTTGCTAGTCTTAAATAAGCTTTTAATTGTGTTTTGCAGAGAAAAATAAAAAAAAAATTTGATCCATTAAAATGTTAATAGCAAAAGGCCTCCTGAAGGAAACACATGCCTTTTGTGTCTTTTGAAACCCATAAATTCTAAATATTAGAAAGTGGCGATATTGATTTATAACTGCTGAAATTAGATTCTCAGTTTATATCTCACACTGCTTATCTTTTTAAAACAAGCTATATGCAAGCTTTGGAAACAAATTTATGTCTTATTCAGTTTCTTTGTGCTCCTGTTCTCCACCTAGAAAAGATAATTAATATTGCTTCCCTAATTACATGAAACTAGTTATGGTAAGTGTTAGATCATGAAATAAATATTTTCGTCAGTAATAAGGACCATATAAATGTTAGAGATGGATATATGGACATAAACGTTTAGTTGTAAGTTAAAAATTAATGTAGAAGCTATTTCATTGATCTTTAATTCAAAAATAGTTTGCAGGAAACAGTCTTTATAGGATGATTCTCCTTAGTCTCTTAAAAAAACACACACTTTTCTGTATAGACATATTGATGGAGAAAAGTGGAAAGTAACTAAAAGTGAAATTTATAATAGAAGATATGTGAAATCTTGATTATTTTATCTGAGGATTATAATCTTCTGACAGAGTTGGCAAACAAATGGAGTCCAATGGAGGATTAGTTAATAAAGTTCTGCTGTATTTGTGCTTGAAAATGGGGATAAAATGGAAAAAAAAAACCCCAATCTGTAGATCTGTTCTTGATTACTAAAAGAAATACAAAAATAAGTTTTCCCTTAGAAAAAAAAAAGGCAGGGAGAGGGTTTCTGTTTTTTGCTTATTTTATTTAGGAATATATATGTTAATTAAAAAGAAGCCTCCCCAAAAATGAAGCCTGAAATGCATATACAAGTGCAACAAGATTACTGCTTTTCTTGCTGTTTAATGCTTACATTTTTTCCTTTGGAAGTCTACATTTGTGTTTTTAAGAAGCTTTTTGTTAAGCAGCCGACCCTGGGAGATGCTAAGCACTTCATGGTATGCAGTGAATTCAAGAGTTAAGATTTCTCATAACATGACAGTCTTAGGTCTGAGCTACACACATACCTTGAATTCTGGGTGATAGAATTGTCAAGAGTTTCAGTAGTGTTGCAAAAACATGGGACAGTTGTGAAACTTGAGTATGATCTCAGAGTTTGGCTTCAAACACCCTCGATTGATATGTGTTGAAAATACAGTGAAAATCTAAGGTTTTGTCTGAGTTTACTTCACTCTTGTGTGACAGAGGGGAAGACTTTCCTGCCTTGCAAATGTCAAAGGCAAAATTCCCGTTTTCTTGAAGTGCCCGGATTGGGCCCCGAAGGTGAACGTAAATTACCATAACAATTTGAGATAAATGTATTATTAGATTGTCACAGATCAGCAGACGGGCCAGAAGATTCAGATTGTTACAGCACTTGATCAGAGCTCAGCAGGCAAGCAGTTCATCTTAACAAATCATGATGGCTCTACCCCAAGCAAGGTGATCCTTGCCAGACAAGATTCCACTCCAGGAAAAGTTATCCTGGCAACTCCAGATGCTGCAGGTGTCAACCAACTGTTTTTTGCATCCCCTGATATATCTGCACAACACATCCAGGTAGATAATCCACTTTATTTCATAATTTTGGTTCAAGTGGGATAAGAAGAGATGTTTTATTTTCAAATATGTCTGTCTGGGTTCTCCTTTTATCAGTTTGTTTTGTTTTGTTTTAATCCTATACTTTTCCTTCACTAGGGCTCAACATGGTTACTCAGAAATGATGAAAAAACCCTTTTTTAAGAAATAAATTTATTGCTTTTAAGATCTTTACCCAGGCTCATGACATTAGAAATAATATTGTTATTTTTAATGTCATTTCCAGCTCCTGCCATACCAACAGTCCTTTATTTCTGCTTCATTGACTTTCCATCTGTTTTCACGTATTGTTGAAAAACATGCTCTTTATTGTGTTTATCACTTAGCATTTTCTTCTGCTTGTTTTCCTCTTCGTATCCTGTTGTAACTACTGTTCAGCTCTGTGAATTGTACTCCAGGGTGGATTCTCAGAAAGACTGTTTAGTATAGAAGTCCAGTGCTCAGTGGGGATGGGAAAATAACACTAAAGATTTTGGGTTTAGGGATGTGAGTTTGTGACGAGCCAGGGTTAGGCTCCCTAAACTGGTCCCCAGCGCATCTTACTGCCACGCACATTGTGTGTGCCGCTTCCTTAGTCCTCGCCCCTCCAACTTCCAGCCTTCCTGCCCCATATCCTCACCTGGCAAGGATGGGCTGGCACTCGTAGAACCATAGAATGTTCGGGGCTGGAAGGGACCTCTAGAGATCATCTAGCCCAACCCCCCTGCCAGAGCAGGATCCCCTAGGGCAGCCACACAGGAACGTGTCCAGAGGGGTTTTGAAAGTCTCCAGAGAAGGAGACTCCACAACCTCTCTGGGCAGCCTGTGCCAGCGCTCTGTCACCCTCACAGGAAAGAAATTTCTCCTCATGTTGAGGTGGAACTTCCTATGTTCTAACTTAAACCCATCGTTTCTTGTTCTATTGCTGGGCACCACTGAGAAGAGATTTTCCCCTTCCTCTTGACACCCACCCCTCAGATATTTATGTAAGTTAATAAGATCCCCACATGAAGAACATGCTCAGAAGACTTGGGAGATGTGAGCTCCTTCAGCATGAATTAGGAGATCTCTGCACTCCAGCTAAAGTGTCTTTATTGCTTACTCTTTTACCCATGTACATTTACTCCACTGTTAAAATACATCAGGCAATATTAGGGTTGCTGCAGTGCATTCAGTCCAGTATCTTACACTTAAAAAACGGCCAGGAACAGTTGCTTAAAGGAAAAATACTAAAAACTGGTCAAGTGAATAATGATCCTTATGATCCTTTCACTTCCATCAGCTGATGGTTTAGAGCAACCTCCTCATTTGAAGATTGCAGTGTATCATATTTGATAGCTGCCACTCAAGTTTAACAAAGTTTTTTGTTACTTACATAGATTATATATGTTTTGGTCTGTGTAATATTCTATAGTGTAGTTGTGTATTGTGCAGAGAATACTTTGGTTCATTTGATCTTCTGAGAGAAGTATTTAATTTGGTGTCTCTTGCACTATAAGAAACAGCTGTAAAAATTCTGTTGTTTTTATAATCACTGTTAAGTATTTTTTTAAGTAATTTTTTTTCAGCTGAAGCCCCGTGATCTTTTTTAGTGTGTGCTCTTCTGGGAGCCAGTCTACTACTCTGTTTCACTATCCACATATTGTTTAAGCTTGAAACATATCTCTGTACTATATATTACCTTTTTTTTTTCCCCCTGAAACTCACTAATCTTTGCAAATGGACAGCCAGAGTCCTTGCTGCAAAGTATTTGGTTCTATTAATGAGGGAGCAATAGCAAAAGCCAATCCTGTTGAGAGGCCTTTAAGTATGTTTAGTGGTATCATATACTTTGTATTTTAGGTCAGCATCAACAAAAGTATAAACCAGTGAGATATGAAGTAATCCATATAAAAAATACTTTCAAAGACAACTTAAGAGATGACAAGTGTGCCACACTAGTTGAAAAGGCAAAATCCAGGAATAGAGGAAGTCTGGATGAAAAATTGAAAGCTCTAGTTCTGCTCGTACAGATTGGGCAAAATAGATTAGTTTGAGAGGCAACAGAGTATTCTGTCACTTTAGATTGTTCTGTTGTCAGCTAATATGTATGGGTAGGGATTTCTTTGTTTCTGTTTAAAGTTAATGAAACACAGAGTACCATTCATTTGTTGTTCACCTGCATCCTCTTTGGGATCTTTCATATTTTCTCCCCTAAATGATCTTTTCATCTGCAGTTTCATTTCTTTTGTTGTTCTTTTGTAGCCTTCACTCGAAATGCCCATTCATTTGCTCTGCAAAAAACCTCTCCTTTGTTGCATCTTATCTTTGCATTGACTCATTTGGCAAGACACTTCTTCCATCATCTATTTTACCCTCAGTGGCTCTTCTTCATCTTAATAATCAATTTTAATTCATCACGTTCAAGGTCAGTTGAGTTCTCTTGAGTCTGGGATTTTTATCTCTTCATGGGCCCAATTCCATAGACCTTCCTTATGTGGAATTTTCCGTTTCAGTGCAGGTTTTATTTATGGAAGGACTTAGAATTTGGTTTTATATATTTTATATGATATCCTGAAAATGCATAATGTTAATAGTGGAAATTGGGAAGGAACAAAAGGTTCATTCTTTTAACTTGCCCATATTATTTTTCTTAAAGAGATGTTATATTAACAGAAAACTTAATAGATAGTCTCTGAGACGGCATTGTTAACAAAGGCTAACTAGAAAGAAGTATGCTTGAAAGCGTTCCCGTATGTATTGTCTACATTATCTTCCAAATTGTCCGAAAGTGATTTCTTAATTTTCTATGTAGAAGATAGGGTGCTTTCACTTTCAGAAAGTTATCTTTCCTTTTATCAGAGGTCCTCTTTTGAATATGCAAGGCAATATTCAAAACAGTAGAAGTTAGAAACTCTTGAAACTTCTAAACTTTTTAGTGGGGAAAAATATTTTTTTTTCTTTTCTACTTTACATGATTGTCAAGATGATTTTTCGTTCTTGTGATATGTAATTTTAAACTGAATTTTTACTGTGCTTTATTTATGTCACAGTGTGATAGAATTTTTAAAGATCAAATGGAAGGCTCCAGTGCCTACGTGGCACTGCTGGGCTTCTACTTGTATGTGCTTAATGATGCTTTACAGGTACCAGAGATAAATGAATCAAACAGGACAAGAATACTGTAATAATGTCACACGGTTACTGAAAGCCACACTGTAGACCACATGATATTAATGGTAGCGTCCAGAGTACCTTTTCTGTTGGTCCACCATTTGTGTGTATGATAAAAAAACAAAAGAGTTAATAAATCTGAATGTAGATGTAGGAGCCTTTACAGGGAATTTTTTTGTTGCACCTGCTTAATGCTCCCATCTCTTTTGTACTATGAACAAGTCATTAGAATAAAAATACAAAATTGTACAACAGGTAAGAGTGTGTAAGTGCTAAAAGTTTTTCAAAATGTCAGTCCGTTTTGCAGAAGTACTGTTTAGGTAAACAAAATCTCTAATTCTTTACAGAAGTAGTGCAAGTAAAACTTGTGTTCCATCCTGAAAAAGAGCACAGTGACATAGCAGGTAGCTCCTTCATGTCTATGAATGCTGTAAAATATACAAATATGCAAAACCTTATATTTTGTAGATTTTGTCCCTTATCTCAGGAAAAAACACAAGTATGAGACATATTTTAATATTTCTTGATGGTAAGAAAAAGAAAAATGAAATTCTTTCACACTTTCTTCCAGATTTTAACAGACAACTCGCCCAATGAACAGGGTCTAAATAAAGTGTTTGATCTGTGTGTTGTATGTGGAGACAAGGCATCAGGTATTTACTTTTTCTTTCTTTTTTTTAAGTTGGTACAAGTCTATATAAGCAGCTTAAAATTGTTCTGAAGCTGTATAACTATTTGCATGTATACAGATATGTCTATACATGCACAAACAGAAAGACTGCACTACAAATACACTACTCTTTCAGGGGAGAATTACATTAAATGGTACTCTAACATTAAATGCCATGCATGGACACCAGTGTACCTCATAAATTTAATGTTTTCTACCAGGTGATTTTTGCCTTTTCTTTCTTAGGCTGATGCATTTTATTTTCCATTGTAAAAATTTGGGTGATAAAATTACTGAAGTCATAATGTTGATTCTTTTCTTCCTTAAAATAAGGTCATGCAGTGAACTTTGTTATTTTTGACAGGTTCTCTTAAAATATATGAGAAGCTATTCATTATTTTAAATATTAAACCAGTAGGCAAGGAAGACTTTGCAAGTAGATGAAAGAAATGCTAATATGAGATTTATGCAGGACAGTTGGTTATTTGAAGAACCATTATTAAAACTGTAAAAATGCCTCACAACTAACTCCACTAAAAAAACCCAAACACTTAGGAGTGGTATATTCATATATTGCCAAAGTGGAGTGCTAAGGTAAGAAAAGAAAAATGTTTTATGCACTAAATTTTGTGTGATAGTGTTAAGAAACTGGAAAGAAATACTGTGGGAGCAGTGCGCTGGAGAGCTTCTCCTGCATCCCTTTGCCTGCCGTCAGGTGTTCCAGATCTGTCAGAGTTGGAATTACTGGGAGGATGTCTTGTATTTTTTACTGAAAAAGAATAAAAAGAGGGAACCAAAAGAGCTGTTCCTTAGCATGGTTTAGCTGAAAGCTCCTTTTTTTTTGCACTGTTTTTGTTAGAGAAGACGATGGGGTGTGAGATGAGACATTTAACTTTGCTTTTTATTTACTTAGCTAAAATTAGTCTTAAGTAGGAAAGTGATTGCTCCATTAGAAGTTTGATATGGTTTTTCAGTGAAGCTTGTGTGATGGACCTCCAGTAATACTAAAATGTGATGGTTGCAGTTAAATGCTACTTTTGGGATGCGATGGGAATGACGTGTGTAAATGCTACTTTTGGGAAGTGATGAGAATGACATGTATAATAAAAATGGGGAACCGGGGGGGGAAGAAGTAGCTGATGCTAGGGTATCATCATGACAATTAGTAGGTGGGGATCAAACTTCCTAGAAAATAAAACCAGTTAAAATTTTTCTACTGTGGCAAAGTTTAGCATTACAAATAGTTCCTAGAGCTCTAAATGCACATCGAACTTCAATCACCTCAGAGGAAATTTCCACCAAACGTAAGATCAGATCGGACTGCTTCAATTGGCAAAACTCCTCTGGCTCCCCTTGAGGGGCTGGAGTTCCCAGGAGCTTATTCTTCCTGTCGTGGTGCAGGGATATGGAGCAGCGGTGGTGAATTTGGGGAGAGTGCCGCGTTCCCCTGAACAGCTGCAGGCTCTGGGGAGCCTCCTGTGTGACCGGCAGTGTCGTGCAAGCTGCTGTGCAGACGCGACTCCAGGCTGGAACACAAGAAGCTATGTCAAAAGAGCAGGTGAAGCAGCAGCCTCGGTGCTTTGTGGAACGGATATTGATGGATATTGATGGAAAGTAAATGAATATTCACAACCCAGCTGCTGTTAAAATGTTTCACTTATGAATATTACTTTAATATACACGATGCTTTAAAAAATTCACATTTTAATAGTGTGTTAATGTGGTGTGAATTTCGAGAAACTTCAAGCAGGCAAAATTGATGTATCTAAAAATAAAAGTTTGTGAGGAGTGGGGAAAGAGAAAATCCCTTAGATTAGTTCATATTTGAGATTTGTTTCTGTAATGTGCCCTACTAAGTTCAAAGAGCAGCCTTAGTGCCTCCGCAGTATGTATTTTGAGTGAGTGTCGATGATCTCTGATTGGTGTTTTTTTTCTTCAGAATCATAGAATTAAAATTGTTGGAGCTGTCAAGTATGCCTTAATCAAAACTAGTACTTTTAAGTAATATTTGTAATGTGTTTTTTAGCAGAATCAAAACAGTTTATTTCTGGAAAATAATTGTTAAACTTGACTTTTTTCTGTCATATATCGTAGAAATTTTTATATGTTAGTATTATGTATTAGATAATTCACAGAATAATTGATTTGAAAAAAAATTATCTAATTCAGATTATTCTTTCATTGAAGTTTTACTGAAAGAACTAAGGATGTACAATTACCCTATTAGGAAAACGAAAGGTGAAAGTAAAGCTTTGAAGTGATTACTTACTGCTGTCAAATGCCATGTTTGCACTTTCCATGGTTCCATGAAATTTAATGCATATAATTCCAACAGCTGAATTTGTAATGAGCAGTAACAGGACTCGACTGTCAGGACATTTTAAAAAAAATAGGTAAAAAAAAGTATAAATTAAAAGAGTTTCTTCTACGTTCTTGCTAACCTATTTTCTTAGCTTTTTTGAAGACTCCTATCAACAGGTTCAGCAAGAATGTAATAAGCAATTTCCCTATTTGTAAAATCTGTCCTGTTTAACTACTGCTTTGAACTAGAAAAAATATTCACTTGCTTTTTTACTGCTTTGAACTAGAAAAAATATTCACTTGCTTTTTTATGTCATTTTGTATTTTAAAGGTCTGTAACGGTGCAGAAAAAAAGCGTAGTTTTTCTGGGTAAAATAGTGAATACTTTTATTTAATAAATATAAACTAAAAAAAAAATTAGAGTGTAAAATTAATGTTGTGATTTATGTTGTTCTGTAACTAGGGCGTCACTACGGAGCAGTGACTTGTGAGGGATGCAAAGGATTCTTTAAAAGGAGCATACGGAAGAATTTAGTTTATTCGTGCCGAGGAACGAAAGACTGTGTCATTAACAAACACCACCGGAATCGATGTCAGTACTGTAGGCTGCAGAGATGCATCGCGTTTGGGATGAAACAAGATTGTAAGTCCAAATAAGTGTAAATTATTTTAGCTGGCGGCTCTGTTAAAGTTGGTGCTACAAAAGATATGCTTTGTGTTAATGCAAATTCTTGTCTTGATTTTATGTTTACAAATCACTGTGCCATTTTCTTTTAAAGAATTGTACAAGTGTGCTGTATCAGAAATCTGAAATGTTTTCAAGCATACATATGGCTTGACTTAATAAGCGTATTGCATATGGTAAAATGAATGAATTGTTATTCCTAGGTGGAAAATATCAAGCATGCCTCCATCTTCGTTTTTTGCATATGTAGTACAGTTTTTCTGTGCGTAAATTAAGCTACTGAAAGTTTTGAGTCCTTCTACTGTCTTGTCACTTTTTCCACAAGAGAGAAACTGACAATTGCTGCTCACTTTTGGCAGAGCTCAGCAGACCGAGTTACTCACGAGGCAGAGATCCGCAGTGATTTACAGTTTAGTTCTTACCAATTCCTGCAGATTTCGGTTTCCTCTTTAGATTTCCATACATAGGATGCAGCGATACTGCAATACCACAGCAGGAACAGAATACTATATATGCAGAAAATCAAGCAATACGTGAATTCTTCAGCCTCAGAACTGTCATGCTGTTTCTGTACGCACAGTGTTAGTCTTGTGCTCTGATTTCTGCCATCCCGCTCGATTTGTTGACCCTCACGAACCTCTGTGGACATGCCCCTCCTTACAGCCCTGCTTTTGTCAGCAGAAACCGGTAACTTTTTTCTTCCAGCACAGAGGAAATTAATTCAGAAAGAGAGGAAGAGCCAGGGCAGTGAAAGTAAATCCTTACCCAAAGCTTTACTCACTAGTTCAACTGGCAGTATTTTCCCCCACCACAGAACAGAATCGTTGGGGTTGAGGGTCAGAAGGCAGGAAGAGGATCTCTGGGTGGCCGGGGAATACTCAGCGGAGGAGAGAATTGTTTTGGCATATCAAGTCTCATTGCTCAGTGGAGTGGGAAGAGGAAAGAAAGCTTAGCAGCATCTTGTCCTTTAGCTCCCTCAGCAGCGTTATTTGTCCCTTGAAGAAGTCTTGGCAGACTCGGATCCAGCTAGTGAGCAGAGGGTTAGCAAAGAAAGACGAGAGACTTTTGCCGTCATCTCCTGCCCTTTCACGGCACCACTCATGTTATAGGCTAGCTCTAATGGCATTGTCAGTATTTCATTACATTATGACATTTGGTTTCATGATACTTATCAATGTAAAATTTTGAATAGCATCACAGTCTACTAACTGAAAAGCTTTTTATTTTTTTTCTTTAGTTGCAAATTTTCCAAAATTGCATAACTGAATTAAAAACTAATTCTTTTCTGATTTGCCTTTGTGGTTTTGAATAATGAACATTCAGGGTTCTCTTTATAGACTTAAATGGTTTCTGTGTACAGTACAATATCAAAGAGGCTCTGCTGGCCAGTAGCCAGTGCTTACCAAACTGGTGAATTGAGGCATATTTTAAATTACATGTAGGCCTGATTTGTGACTCTATTTCAGGATCTTATTCCAATTTATAAAATTGCTTGCTCCACTTAAAAATTGTGGAAGAACAACTTAACTGCATATTTTTAAGATTCATACTTGGTAAATAGCTTTCACTGATTAGGTTTTACAGCAGCAATGTTAGGTCACTGTTATGTTATCATTCCAGAGATTAAATTTTCCTTTTAAACCTTTAAAATCAAACTGTAAACTGGCTTCTTTCGGCTTTATCCTACAGAGCTAGAGAGTTCCCCATAAGGTATAATGCTGTAAGTTTCATGGTAATGTTCTCTAATCCATCCAAAGCAGAAGACTGAAGACCAGATTGATTCCACTGAATTTCACAGAGCTGTTCAAATTAAAATTCTGCTGCTTCTCTGAAGGCAGTGATTGTGGGTCAGGATGCCACCCAGATCTTGAACGGTCTGGAACTGAACTTTGTGAATGTCCCTTTACCTCTGTATTGCCTAAGGTCCTAATTGAGAACTTTAAGTGCATAAAGTTATGTGGGTTCAACTCAGACCCACAATCCATGGAGAAGGGTTCCAAGAGTCCTTTACAAATGACCTGAGAGTGTGGGATGGTGAAATTGAAAGGAGAAGCCGTAATCCTCCACTTAAATATCTAAATTAAAAATAAGTTATAAAGGGATTTCTCCCATACTTGTAACTTGAAAGACTTTACTGGTTGTGTGTTAGCTTATTGGTTATGGTATTCTTTTTGTTATTTTCAGAATCATTATTAAAATTGCAGATTAAATAGAGGAAAAAAGGATTATTTCTTAGTCTGTAATTTGGGATGTGACTAAATAGTTGCATATTGTTTTGTTAGCTGTGCAGTGTGAAAGGAAACCTATTGATGTGTCAAGAGAAAAACCTTCGAACTGTGCAGCCTCTACAGAAAAGATCTACATTCGGAAAGATCTTCGTAGTCCATTAGCGGCAACTCCAACTTTTGTAACAGACAATGAAACAGCGAGGTATGTAAATTCTACTCAGAAACAGCTGATTTTGTAAAGAGGAAGAACTAATTTAAAATTAATCAAAATTAAAACTTGTTTTGTTTTGTGTCAGATCAACAGGTCTGCTGGAATCAGGAATGTTTGTCAACATTCATCAGTCTGCAATAAAAAGTGAGCCTACTGTGCTGATGACTCCAGATAAGGTACAGGATGATATATATGACTGATAAGCAGAGTTAAAGAGAGTTGATTGAGGTGATTTTGTATGTGGCGAGGGAAGGGTGTTCTGTTTTACTTTAAATCACTCCTTTACAACACTAGCCAGTGTTGCAAATGCCTTCTGTAACAGGAATGCTTTTAGCCTCGCATAGTAAAAATACTAAAAACTCTGCAAAGCAAATGCCTCCCTCCACGTTTTTAGAGAGCTTTTAAGGGCTGCACACCTTTTCTTTGTATTGGGCAATCTTGACACTTGGAAATTTCTTTTGTACCAATGAAGTGAGATGTTTGCAAAACCTCACGTGGCATTAGGACAGTGCATTTCATAAATACTTTTAGGTTTTTTTCTCCCAAATTGCTAAATTTTTTGCAAAGCGAATAAGAGCTATCTCAGCAACAATTTTATTTCTAATCTGGTTTTCATTTGTTTCCATTTTGTCATGCTTACTGATCCACTAAAGCCATGTGGTAACTTCCCTCCACAT